AGAAAGGCTGGTTTGGGTTGGAAGGAGCTCAAAGCTCATCTCGTTCCATCCCCTGACACGGGCTGGGACATCTTCCACTACCCCAGGTTGCTCTAAGCCCCGTGCAACCTGGCCTTGAACACTTCCAGGGACCTCACCTCTCCACTAAAACCAACCCACAGTGAGGGACTGGTCACACAAATTCCTGACGTGCTCTGAGATCCCCCCCAAGCTTTCCAATGACATCATTGCCTGGGTCCCATCCTCATTAGGAGGTCACCAACTCTCCCTGGCCATGGTAACAAACAGGTTATTGTGCTCTGTGCTGCAAACAAACCCCAGCCCTCCCAACTCCAGCCCCAGTGGAGAGTGGAGGAGCTGCTGCCTGCCCGGCCTGTGCTGGGGTTTCTGTTAGAGGGGAAAGTCAGGCCAATTAAATCAGGCAGCATTGAATCTCTAATTGACATAAATGAGACAGACAGACAGCTGGGAAGACTGGGAGCGGGGGAGGGAAAGGGGAGCAGGTGCCCTGGATGAGAAAGAGATAGAAATCCACCCTAATAGTACTACAGCTTTCCTTGTTCTGTGTGTTTACATTAGCCAGCAACATCATGGAAAGTGTCTGAGACCTTGCTGGAGAGAAATTAAAGAAATAAATACGAGTCACAACTATTGTGGAGTTAATTAGAACATTCCTAAAAGTCTCCAAACCTAAAGGAAAAAAAAATCATCCTCAAAAAGACTTTTTAATTTGTGTAGTTAAATTAAGAAATCTGTTTTTTTCCCATACAGTTTGAACATGAGGCCTTGCAGCTGAACAATTACAAAATAATTTAAAATAATATTTGTTTAATTTTCCACATCTAAGCAATGCTTGCCCAGGTATTTCCCCCTCTCTTTTTACCAGGGAGYGCTCTTTTGTCTTTAACAGACCTTTCAAACACTAATTTATACAGGAATAAGTTATTTAAATTCATACATTTCAGAAGGATGAGGCATAAAGGGGAGGAACTCACCCAGGTCCCGCCYGGCTCTGCAGAAGGAACCAGAATTACCAGCTCCTGCTCTGCCTCGCCCAGGGTGTGCCCTGATGGAAACAAACTGTTGGACATTTTCTCCAAACACACCTTTGCTGCTGTACAGGTGAGAAGTGAAGGTGGAAAAGCATTCCCATGTGGATGCAGATAACAAGGAGGGGAAAAAAATCATTTTTGTGGTGCTGGTGAATCCTCCAGTAGCCCAAGAGAGCAGCAATTTGGGATAAGCTCTTCCAAACCAACCCATATCTTAGTTTTAAAATAATCAGGATTTGCACATTGTGGTGTAAGAACCAGAAATGTTTTTCACTTACATTTCCAGAAACTTTTGAAATCTCTTCCCGAATATTTCAACACATTCTCCTTCCCCATTTTCCCAGCTGGGATAATTTTTTTGCCAGCACAGGCAATTCTTCTCGGTATCCATGGGAATTGCCTCCATAATTAGACGTGCACCCAGTGCACAGATCAGAGCGCTCCAACCCAGCAGCTGGAACTAGGAGGCAGGTCTGATTAAATCTGCTCTGCCACGAGGAGAAAAGCCAGCTTTAATGAAACATCACAGGACTCCCTACCCCGTCTTTAAACAGGGCAGGAAAAGGGACTCCGGGATGACTTTGAGAGTGGCTGCTCGTGGTGTGCTCACGATTGACAGAGCAGAGCGAGCATTGAGTGATCCAGGGCCTTGAAACTGGGGATCTGCCTCATTAAAAAGGGGCTGCTTGCCAGCAGCTTATTAAAGGGGCTCACAATCTGCCTTCAGAAGAGCAGTAAAGATTGGAGGGGTCAGCACGTGCAGGTGGAGGTTTTCTCCTTGGCAGTTTCTCCTCAAGCCAGTGAGATCAGGGTTAGCTTGTAGAGGAACAGCTTCTCTGGGTTTCTTGCCTTGCCTTGCTCGTTTGTGTGAATCCACCAAAACACGCCCAGAGCCAGCCAACAGCTCTTTTTTTATTGAATCTCAGAAGGGTTTGGGTYGGAAGRACCTCAAAGCCCACCCATGGGCAGAGACACCTTCCACTAAACCAGATTGCTCCAAGCCCAGTCCAGTCAGGCCTTGGACGCTTCCAGRGATGGGGCAGCCACAGCTTCAAGTGACAATTTTCATGGACAGTAAATGATTTCTATTCCTGCACACCCAGTTCTGCAGGTACAATGTGCTGTTCAGGAAAGGGAGCTGGCAAAAGAGGCGGATGGTTGGACAGAAATTATTAATCCCATACAAGTTTTATATCTTTAGTTGCTGCTTCCACTTGGTGTCACAAACCCCACGACTCCTGGGGGCTTCCCCTTTTTAGGAACAGAGCTGGGAGTTGGGATGGAGCAGATAATGAAACTCTGAGTGGTTTGGTGGGTGGGAAAAAAGTGACTTTTAACAAACATGCAGGGGCTGGGGGATCAAGCACGGCTCTGGTCTAGACAGAGCCACACTCCCCRCTGCCTCAGAAGTTCATACCACAGCAGCTGACAGAATTTAGCATCTCCTTTCCCTAACACGATTAAAATGCAGCTCCGTGTAATGGGGTACTGACAGACCCTCAGATCTCTCAGCATTCCAAGCCACGTTTCCATTTCCASTGCTGGAGTCGCTCCCTTTGGCAACACAACCCTGCGGATGAGCGGCACTCACGGATCCCAGCAACCGAGGYTGCTTTAGCTGGGGTTTGAACTCAGCCCTTCCTGTAATTCTAGCATTTGAATATCATTTTCACAACCCTCGCAAGCAGCAGATGAATGAGAGATTCCTGGCTTGGAGTCAAAAGCTGCGGTAATTAAATGTTTATAAAACACTTKAAGCATGCGAAGTGCTGTTATAGACAAGCAACCAACAGATCTGGCAGATTGGAGCMGGATTTTGAGGCACACCAGCAAACAGAGCCCATTTCCCCCACTGCATCTCTCCTAGAGCTGCTAACAGAGGGTTATTCAGGCCATCACCAGGTTCCTTTTATTATAAGTGAAATCAGAATCACTTTCTTTGAGTATGTGTCACTCAGAAGTTTTCCCCTCTGTAATGTAATAACTCTCCAAGCAAAGGGCCAGCTTGCTGTTCAGCTTCGGAAGGAACTACCCCTTGGGAAACTCAAATTGCTTCTACTTGTGATCTCTCACATAAAACTGGAGMGTTTCCACCTGTTACAGGTTACTAACACCATCTGCTGTTTAAAAGGAAGATGGCATTGGAGCTCAGCAGCACTGAGAGCTTGTTTGATAAAACCAGGCACAACACCGGTGAATCTGGAATGTTTCTGTAAATGCCACAATTCCTTTTTTTTTTCTCTTTTAAGCCCTGAACATATTTAGACTTGATCTTCATCATGAAGTGAATTATTTCCTTGCTAGAGGACCCAGAAACCCAGTGAGTAGCAGCTGAATGTCGACTTAAAAATGTTTTCTTTGGGGAGAGCTATGGTCTCCTCAGGGCAGGAAGAGATCAAAGCAAATCATTCTTTCTATTAAAAATAAAAATATTGACCTTTGGCTGGCTYACACTGCTGCCTGTAGGACAGAATAAACACTAACCAAGGATTTTTTTGCTGCTTCCTAATTGAAAGAGATACAAACTTTTGTCCCAGGAAAAACAACAGAGCCCTGGACTTCATTACATGTCTAAATTGAAGGTCTCCCCACCACTGCTCTTACTTTTGGTTGCAGATATTTATAATAACAATTTTTTCTAAAACAAAAATATTTTTCTCCAAATAAAATATTTGGAGATGAGTAGGGGTTTAGACAAAAATCACCCAAAGTCTCAAAGTCTGACACCAAATAGAGGTGGCAGCTCTGGGATCCTTCTCCAGTCTGATCCCAGTTACAGCCTCACCGCCCACCTCTCACATTTCTCCTCTCCACACATCATTTACAGAGTCAGTGGCTCCTTTTGTGAGCAGTTGGCTCCTCACCCCGGCACTTTCCCTGCACTTCKCGACAAAAGAGGCCTTTTACATGTCAATTTATTTTCAGACAAGCATATCTGAAAGGGAGTTTCCCTCCGGAGCCGAATTAGTATTAATGGCAGGTGTTCAGTGGCACACAAAGGGAGGGAGGCTGAGCTGAGCCACTAAGACAGCTTGATGTTTTAATAACCAGAGGCAAGGAACCGAGTGGCAGCAGACCTGCGGCTTCCCCGGCGTGAGTGAAGGTTTTATTCAGAGCCCCCAYGTACTGCCAAAAGAAGACCTTGAAATATTTTCAATGTTTTCTTTGCTTTAAAAAGAGGGATTAAATTGTTGAATATGCCATGAAAGCACAGCATCCGTCCCACATCCTGTGGAAGTCGCAGTCGCCGAGCGCTTCCGAAGCCTCCTGTGGCATTGGGAAGTGGCTGTGGCCACCACGGGGAGGTGGTGGCACCCAGGAGACCTCCAGCTGGACAATTCAGCATCCACCAGTTCCTGGAGACGCAGAAAAAAAAAATTCCATGGACTAACTCAGAGCTGGGAACTTGGAGGGGGATTTGCATTAAAGTTTAAAAAGTTAAACCACAGATCTCTTGCTCAGTGGAGTGAAAAAGGAAGAGAAGATGATTGCTGGGAAAGTTACTGGCCTTCAGTAACTGAATCACAATGGGAATATTTCTCAGGCCAAAATACATCTMCTGATGCTCTGGTGAATCTGACAGAGGGCAGCTACACAGTGGGAAGAAGGGAATCAACCTGTCAGCTGGGTCAGCCCCTTAMAACAGAAAAATGGCTGATTTATGTCCAAAAATAGGAAAGTTCAACCTTTATTATACAGAAACTGTATTATATAGAGCTGTTCAATATTATTTTCRGGCTTCTTGACTTTGGATCAATATGCTCTTTCTGCACAGGTTATTTCCAGGTAGACTSAGCGATTTGAGACTGGATTCCAGGATTTCTGCTTCCTTGAGCTTTCATTCAGACCTAYAGGACAAAAGCTTAAAGGTCAAATCCACTATTAAACACCTGAACCAACAGCAGCAGTTTTCCTTGTAAAGATTTTCTTATGTGTGGAAGTTGAATCCCTTCTAAAATTGAGATAATTTGTAATATCCTCTTTGTCCAAGGTTAAAGCTGAATGACTCAAAATTCTTGTGAGATCAAATAGTTTGTTCTGTCAGACAGCACGTTCCCCCAACAGACATTAGATACCCAACTTTCACCTCAAATAATGCAATTTCAGTTAATATGACAACAGCATTTTGGTAAAGGTCAGGACAAAACCAGACACAGAAGGAGAGAGCCCAGCYTGTCACAAACACCTACAGTTTTCATATACAGAAAGTTAAACAAATCTGTTTTTATTGAGCACTGGAATTAAAAAAGTAACAGCACTTGGTTGATTTGGAACTAAAAATCCAGACTTATTTTTACTGATGGATCACTCAAAACAATGTGGTTAAAAGCCCCCCAGAGAGGAAGGTGTAGCCCTTGTTCCCTTTGTGGTGGGTTGGCATCCAACCCCTTTCCAGACCTGCCCTTGAAATACATCAAAAATATTCTGAAAATCTGCTGAGGTTCCTGCAAGGCCCAAAAGTGCCCAAAGAGGCTGACCCCAGCTCCAGAAAAATGGTTGTAATTATTGTATTGGTTGCAGATATCTAAAAATTGCACAGTGGAGTTGTAGGGAACATCATGCCTCGAATATTTTTAAGGAAGRCATTTTGGATGGTGGAGTGTCCCCCTCCCCAAATCTCAGCAAAACATTGAATCCCTCTCTGCTGAGGTTGGTGGCAATACCAGTAAGAAGATGCACTGGGGACTGGTGCTGGCCTCTTCCTCTCAGGAGCACTGGACACTCAGGCTGCACTTGGAATAAAGAAAAAAAAAACTGTGACTATTTCAGGTTCTCACTGGCTGCTCACAGGAGCTGCTTGGACTAGGGTAGAGTAGAAGAGCACTGTGCATCTCAGAAAATGATTTTTATGGAATTCTCCATTTTAGAGCCAACTGAGACTGAAGAAAGAAGAGTTTCCTCTCTTGTGATATGATCAGCTACAAGCAGCAAAAATCCACATGAGAACCTTTGCTGGCTCCAGTCACATCCTTGAGTTCTGTTTGCAGCCCTTATAACAATGCTACTCTTCCCAGAAACTGCCACCATGGAGCTCCAGCAATTTCCTGCAGGTCAGAATGGGGTGGGCATTTATTTCTAGCATAGTTTGCCTCCACATGTTGGTTTCTATTAGCACAGAAATGCCCTGAGAGCAAGAAATTCCCCTCTGCATGCTGCCACCATTCCTGYTGGTTCCTGTTTCATTCCAGGACTGGTTCTGATCACCTCCCATCCCAAAGAAGGTGGTGTGAGAGGCAGCACTGCTGGTTTCCCWTAAAGGGCCTGAAAAACAGGCAGAKAAGGAGCACTGTCCCTGCAAACACAGGGGAGTGGCTGGGACAGGACTGGGGTCGCTGGTGCTGCACTAAAAGTCATCAGKAACAGGATGTCACCTGAATGACACGTTTATTGTACGAGTCAGAAAGAAACCCTGAGTTACTGGCTGTAGAACAAAGTTAAATTAAAAAAAAAAGAAAGGGTGGTTTGGTTCAGAGGTTCCTGCTGAGGGGAARGAAAACCCCAAATGGTAAAAGCAGCCAGAGCCAGCCCAAAGCCTCGGCTTGTTGTCATCYCCCCTGCATAGGTGACAAAATTCCCAGTGATGGGAGGGCAGAGGGAAGGAAAGAGCCAAACCCAGGAGTGTCCTGGCCTGCCGAGCATCTATGGGAGGGCTGGGAAAACCCAGGATTTATTTCATTCAGAGATCTGAGCTCTGGCTGGGCTGAGGAAGTGTGGGAGAGAGGGAGAAACMGAGGCTGGAAAATCCACCTTATGTGGAACAAACACACAGGACATGGAGGGGAGGGAGGTCCTTCATGGACACTGGTGCTGCTGGCTGGGGAGGCTGCAGGGCTGGCTTTTGGGAAATGCATCCAAAGGTTCGAAGGAGAAAAGCCCCAAAACCTAAACCCCAAGKGTGAGCACAGTCTTCCAGCTGCAGTGGAGTTGGAGAGGATCAATTCCAAGAAATGCTGTAGCAACAACACATACCTGGCCCTACACAGGGAAGGGTGAATCAGAGCTGCTTTTTAGTGCCACTTGACATCATTATACATTCTAGTTCTCATATACACAGATGGATTTCTTTAAAAATCGACCATTTACACTTCAGAGAAGTTTTACAGTGAAGTTCTCTCAGCAAAGGCCTTCCACGAGGAGGAGCCAGTCTTTGAGGAGCAGGAAGGCACTTGGCCTTTTGAGAGCAAGTCCCCAAGGGAGCCCCTGTGCAGACCCTGCCCATCCCCTGTCCTCCTCTTCCATAGGTGTGCAAAATCCGGGCTGTTCCTGCTCCTGGGCCTCACAGGGTGGTGGAGGGGAGCTTCTTCACCCTCCTCTGTGCCAGGATGGAGGATTCRATGGGCTTCAGCTGAGGGCTTGGCTTGGAGCTGTTGAGTGCTGAGTACGTGGCAGCCATGGCACCCTGGAGAGAGGCACAGAGGRGTCACTCAGTGCAGGAGAGGCTTTACAAGACAGGGGACCAGAGCAGCCTGACCCACARAGCCAGAAACATCTTTCTTATTTCTGTAAGTCTCCCTCCTGCACTGACATGTTGTTAAGAATCTCCCCTTTCTTTTCTCCCAAAACCTCAGCTTGTCTGTGCTGCTTGCCCTGGCCCACACCTCTTCAAACTTCCATCCTTTCCCACCCCAGACTTTGTACCTTTACAAGCTGAATATCCTGGTGATTGAGCTGGCTTTGGGGTAAACTGTCCTTCTGGGTTATCCACGGATGCTGCAGAACCTGCTTGGCTGTGAGACGCTGGTGAGGATCTACGTGGAGCATCTTTGATACCAGATCCTACAGGCATTGTTTGGAAAATCAGACTTCAGAAGATTTCATACTTTAAATGCAAAACCCCCACCTGTCCATCCCCAGATTAGGATTTAAATGCAKAGGCCAAGTTTAAAGTCCYCARAYATCAATGYCTTTKTGTATGAAATATGTTTTTGGCAGGYCTGGGGGATATAACTCAGAGCAAAACCTACAAGGGTCAAGGTTGGTTTTCCATGCAAAAAAATATTCACAGCCAGAGCTCAAACAAAGCTGCCATGAGGGAGGTGCGTGGGGTAGAAGCTGCACCGYTGGTTTTCTTCTCTCTCTCATGTGTTTCCTCCCAACCTGCTCTAAATTTGCCTCACAGCACTTCCTGTGCTTGACCTCAACCCCTGACAGTAACACAAATATCAAACCCTACCTTGGCCATGTCAGAAATAGTGTCCCAATTGCCCCCACTGATGGAGAACTTCCCCCCTCCTATCCGGGTCAGGATCTCTTCTGGAGTGTCACTGGGACCGTTTGCAAAGGGAGTGCAGCTGGGGAGAGAGGAGAGAGCCCTAAATTCACTGAGCCCCAAAACTCATCTGTACCCACAGCAGGGACAGAAGGTCACAGCCACTGCCTTACCCAGCCAGCATCGTGTACAGCAGCACCCCCAGGCTCCAGATGTCACAGCCCTCGTCGTAGCCTTGGCGTTTTAGGACCTGAACACAACAACCAAAGGGAAAAAAGTGGGTTTGGTTTCTGTCATTGAGCTCTTTTCAGAAGATCTGGTTGATATGCARATTTCCAGAGCTCGACAGAACAGCAAAGTCTGGCACTAAAAGATCAGGACTCCAATTAGATTCAGTTCCACAGTGGTATTTCTGTAATTGCCTCTTCCAGGGCAGGCTGGAGATGGGATCAGGGCAGACCCTCTGTGCCAAATTAGAGCCCAGATTAGGAGAGGGTCTCGGGTCAGTGAGGTGCTCACAGATGGGACCAGGGCAGACTCTCTGTGCCAAATTAGAGCCCAGCTTAGGGGAGGGACGAGGGGCTGCTGAAGGGTCTCAGGTCAGTGAAGTGCTCACCTCGGGTGCCACGAAGTTTGCTGTGTAACAGGGGGTCATGAGGAGCCCGTTCTCAGCCCTGAGCTGCTTGGCAAAGCCGAAGTCACAAATTCGGATGCTTTCAGGGTTCCCTGATTTATCCACGTAGAGGATATTGCTGGGCTTCAGGTCCCTGTGAACCACCTGTGGAGCCAAGAAAGGGCTGTGCTCGTACCCCAGGTCTGAAAGCTGCCCAAGGTCACTCAGCCTCTGCTGTTGCCCCACATTTGTTCTGCCAAGAGAGCAACTTCACAAGAAATAATTGTCCTGCTGGGCAGAGTTACTCCTTGGAGGAGAGGGAGCCCAGTGTAATGCCAGAGAGCTTCCCAGGAAAATAGGTGGGACCACACTCACCCCTTGGGAATGCAGATACTCCACTGTTTTACAGATCATGTGCAGGACTGAACTGGCTTCTCTCTCCGAGAAAAATTTCTGTCTGAGGATTTTATCCAGCAGCTCGCCTCCCCTCATGAGCTCAGTCACCAGGTACACRTACTTCCCGTCATCATACACCTGCCAAAGAAAACATGGAATGGGTAACCAAAATGTGCTTCCACCAGGGAGCAGAGAGGGATCAGCAGAGGTGGCTCTGGGGATGCTTCCCTACTCCAGAATTGGAAGGGACCCATAGGGATCATGGATCCAGCTCCAGGTCCTGCATAGACACCCCAACAATCCCACCCTGTCCCTGGGAATGTTGTGCCCATTCCCTGGGAGAAGAACYTTTTTGTGACAGAGGAACAGAGCTGGGTTTTTGGGCTGCCCAGGGCTGAACTCTCCCCTGCCCCAGCCTGCACCAAACCCAAGCACAGGAAGCCTCTCAGCCACACTCACATCTTTGAGGGTGATGATGTTTGGGTGCTGCCCGTAGCGCAGCAGGATCTCAATCTCCTCAGAAGGGTCTCTCTTGCT